ATGATCCGATGAAAAAAAATGCAAGAATTTATTTTATTCTCTATGAACTCGATGATATGTGCATGACGCATGAATGGAGAAAATCAATATTAAACATGTTTTTCGAAAGTATTATTATTATTCCGACAACTAATATTATAAATTAATTTAGGACGAAATTCTGTATCACAAGGAGAAATTCAAAGATGTTTTAATCTTATTAATTACTTTTGGATGATAAAATATGATAGAAATTATAATGAACAAGATACAGCCATACGATATATTTCTTTATCATTAGCATTGATTTATTATTTTCGATTGTCAATAAATGATGTTAATGCACACAACAGTAATTATAATATAATTACATGTGAAAAATTTGGTGAAATTCTTTCTGATATAATATCAAATTTAGTTAAAATTGTTCAAGAATAACTCGAAAGATCAGAAGCGTAACTTTGTCATTGAAACAAGCATTTATTGTCGACAATTATCATTGATTTACCTAATAGCCGTTTCCTAGTACAAAATAGCTTGATTTTAACCGTCATAAACAACATCGAAACATCTTCAAATATATCTAACTATGACAGACATATAATAACGTTTCGGTGCCATTCATAATCATTATATTTTAGCTACTTTCTCTTTCGAAACAGTGTTTAGTTATGATAGGCGATATTTTCGGACAATAGATGCTGATTTTAGTGACTAAATTTCGTTTACTGCATTGTGTGGCAAAGAAAATTTTTCGAATTCGCACCCGATCCTCGTCCCAATGTGTCTCTGTTTGATGCGAAGGGTTTCGTAGGAGACTCACCGAATTATTTCGTAAAGCATCAGCCAGATGTTCCATCCTGTCGTCTCCGATTGAATTCATAGACATGTATAGCGTGGCCAGTGTCTGTATGACAAAGAGCAGATGAGATATGAGAGACGTCAAAAGAGAATGAGAGTCATCATGTTGCTTCATAATCCAGCTGCCAAATGTTGTGCTCCATTGTCTGCGATTAGATTTTGAGAGAAATGTAGTGTAGTGAGTGCCTGTATAAAAAAGAAAGAAGATGACAATACGATATAAATGAAAAGAAGATTAGATTAATCGTGTTTTTTGTAATGCATTAGCTAGATGTTGCGCTACGTGCTCTCCGATTAGATTTCGAGATATATTTAGTTTGATAAGTGTCTATGTAAACGAATGCAGATGGGAATATGAATAATTTCAAGAGAGCATACGAGTCATTGTATTATTTCTTAAAGCATCAGCCAGATATTGTGCTCCATTGTCTCCTATTTGATTTCTGAAAAGATATAGTGTAGTGAGTGTCTGCGTGAAAACGTGGAGATAGGACTGTAAGAGAGATGAAGAGAAAGTCAGGATCACTGTGTTATTTCTTAATGCATCCGCCAAATCTTGTGTTTCATTGTCTCCGATTCGATTTCTAGAGAGATTTAGGTTGGTCAGTGTCTATGTGAAAAACTACAGGTAGAGACATGAGGTAGATGAAAAAAAATCAAGATCACTGTGTTATCTCGTAATAAATTTGCCATACGTTCTGCCCCTTTCTGTCCAATTTGATTTCGTCGCAGATCTAGAATGATAAGTGTCTGTATAAGAAACGGTAAATGCTAATATGACGTAGACGAAGAGAAAATGAAAACCACTGTGTTATAACGTAAGCCAAATACTAGATGTTGTGCTCTGATGTCTCCGATTTTATTCTCTCCATACATATATCCACAAAAACTGAGAGTGGTGAGTGTCTATGTGAAAAAGTACAAATGGACATATGAGAAAGACGAAGAGAGAATGAGAGTTACCGTATTATTTCTTAATGCATCAGCTATATGTTGCGTTCCTTTGTCTCCAATCTGGTTTCTAAACAGATGTAGTGTGGAGAGTGTCTGTGTGAGAAAACACAGCTAGGGTCATGAAAGGGACGAAAAGAGAGTGAGTGTCATCGTGTTATATTGTAATGAATCACATAGACATTGTGCTCCTTCGTATCCGATGCTCTTCCCATTGAGATTTAACGTAGTGAGTGACTGTGTGAAAAACTGTAGATGGGCCCATTCCAAACTTTATTGCATATTGAAAAACAGAGTTTCATGTCTATTGAATGATATGTAAAACATGGAAACAAACAGTAGGATATCGTGGAGAATAGAGTATATAAAGGCTTGAAGCATGTGGTCGGGGGCATGGTGCCCCGTTATTTCAATTCAAAACAGATGTAAATGGACAAAAGGTGTATGCCGGTGCCAGAAATGCCAAATCGTCTTTTAAGTAAATCTCTATCTGGGAAACATCGATTTCTGATAAGCTAGATTTCATATCCTTTCTAAGTTTTATCAAAATTATCAAAGTAAAAATGCATCAAAAACGCTTTTTATTCGTTTCTTTAGCTATAACTGCTGACTGTCATCGATTCGGTTATTTGATAATTGCTATGATTTCAGAGTTTTCTTAAACTGTGTACATTTCCCACAGTTATATAAATTATGTTGACAGTAGTTTCTCCATGAATCCTGTTTATTTTTCTGTAATGAATTCGTTTTTATAGTACGAGATCTAAAAGGGATTTTAAAGTACGCAACACAAATATATGAACCTCCACATAGACTATGACGATCAATCTTTACAACTCATCACAACTCGTGTTCGACGTTGTTAATATACGACCGTATATTGTACATCAATACCAGCTGGTTGTAATATATTAACTACTTCCTTATAGCACTTTTATAGGATTAAGTGAAAGAAGGATAAAGAAATATGTCGCAAGATACATATCGGATATAGAGTGTTCCTACGATAAACAACAAAACTGATATATTTTATTGATATTTTTTTTCTTGCAGAGCTTGCACTAACAGTGTTTTAATGAATGATTAGTTTTTTTCGAATTCGGCTACTGTGGATGTCATGAACCTCGAATAGTCATCTCTTGTGACGTTCGATTCTTTCTGAAAATTTAATACGATATAGTTGTAATTTTAAGTTTATTTGATGATAGCGATGTGCCTAGATTATTAGTCTATATCAAAGGAATCATAAATTGACTAGAGTAGTTTTGTTCAATAGAAGATATATTTTGACAATTTCTTTTTATTTCTGGGATATAGAGCTATTCGATGCTTTGCAAAAATTCGATATTTAATACATATGTAAACAAATTGCTTTTTCTATTTGGATGAATATTTTCGAAAAGACATTGTTTTATCTTGTGTACATTATGACATGTGTGGTTTTTAAAAAACAAGAGTCTATCTCATCATAAGTTAATCGTATAATTATGATATTAGATCAGAATGAATGGTTGTAAACGTTAAATAATATACATTTAAATTAGTTGTCTAAATGCATAATCAATAGTGTATGTGGCGAAATCGTTCTTGGTAAATTTTAGATCTGAATTTTTGAGAACATAGTAAAAGAAAACTCTAGAGAAAACATTGATATTTTTTAATAGTAATGTTTAGTATAACTTTATTTTTTATATTTGTGTTTAAATTAATTCGTTTAGTTTGTTTATAAAACTTAATTTTCAATAAATATTTTCTTTTAGAAAGTTTTGAAAAACTAATTGACGCATTTCGAACTCTAATTAATGCCCATGTCAATTACAACGTATATTTTAAACTTAATTGTTCGTAATTAAAAATTATTCACGATAAACCTTTTAATAGTCGAAAAATATTTTTGGCATGGCAACGAAACGAGTAAAAAGCAAAATGTCAACTACAACACTTCATGCTGTCAGCAGCCTTCTCTACTCGAGCTTCGATCATGTAGCAGTCTAGTTAGCTATTTTCTTCTGGATGAGATTTAATAGTTCTAGAACTATAATGCTAGAACTATTACAATTCTAAAATTAAAAAGGAAATGAATGGATATAAATCTTTGTTGAAGTAAGTGAAATCTTGAAAATGATATATATGTATTTATGAGAAGAGTGAGTTTTACCTGGTATCGATGATATGTATCAGTTATTGTATTCAATCTTGTGCACACGTTGCGAACTGAACATAAAATTGTAAATTCATCAAGATGATCCAGAATACGATAGACAAGCTCAATAGGTAATCCAAGAAGAAATACAAGAACTTTATCATACATTATTTTTGCTTGCTTGCAAAGAATATGCTTTGTTAAAATAAATGATTGTCAAAATTTATTTTTCTTCCTGTTGGTATATTTGTTGGCAATATTCCTTCAAGTTGCACCATGATTGTGCAATCTTTTGCTTACATAGAAAATTGAAATGAGTTTTATGCGACGAATGCCACAGGCATGCTTCTTTGTTAAAGTAACTGCATATGTACCTTTTGAATGTGGGTGTGGGTGTGGATATAGATCTTCTTTTCATTTATACCTGCATCCATACCCACACCCACGTTCTATGTGATAAAAACTAGGGCTTTGGTTGTCTAAAGACGATATCTTTGGAATATTGGGAATCATTTGTACTTGTTAAGTATTTTTGTTGGAAACAATATTCTCCATTCAAATCACTACTTGAGTTCTTTGTAGCGTGTAAGATTGTAGAAAAACCAATTGAAAAAAATCTCGTTGAACAAGTTTGGTTCTCACTGTATATATCATATTGACCATTCTTATCAAAAGTTCCAATTTTTTTTTCTTATCATGCAGCTTATATGATATATCAGAAAAACTTCACAAAGACGCTTGATTACTTCTGCTTTAGGAAAAATATATAGCCCAAACAATAACAAAAAATTATTACTGCATGAATATTATAACTGATGAAAAAGGTGTCGATGAAGAGAAAATCAACACTTACATCCTTGCTTGCTATTTACCATTATTCGAATAACTTTTGATAGAAACGGGATATAGAGCTGCGGTTTTCACTCTTCGAAAGAGTGATGCTCGGGTCATCGATCAGTGTAGAACTCATTAAGAGAAAAGATGTTTTTTTTATAGGTACTTTTGGATCAACACTTTTTTCTTTGAGTTTTTTCATCAATTTTCACAATAATCTCAACTCAAATGATGTCAACATGTAGCTCAAACCATTTTTTATTTTGCTATGAGATAATGAAATATGTGGTAATTTTATAACGCAAAAGAGTGATTGAGCTATATTTTGACATGAGTTGATATTATTGTGAAAATTGATGAAAATACTCAAAGAAAAAGTGTTAATTCAAAAGTACCTACAAAAAAAAGCATCTTTTGTTTTTATGAGCTCTATACAAGCCGATGTCTCAGACATCGCTCTTTCGAATGGTGAAAACAGCAGCTCTGTATCTCGTTCCTATCAATAGTTATTCGAACAATGTTAACCTGCCTTTTAGTTTGCATCGGGTATTAGTCACTTTTATCACTATTGATATATACGCCATCTTTCGTTGTATTGTACTCATTGATCAAAACAGATGAACCAATAGAGTAAACAGGGGTAAATGTATATGTGAAAGGGCCGGTGAGTTTCAGAAAATGGCTGTGATTGTTTTATTTTTCGTTTTTTCGAAAACCTTCTCTTGACAAGGTACCTAACTCGATACATCATCTATTGATTGAGAAAACTCGTCTGTGAACATATAATGCGTACACCTATCTTCAAGGTATTGTTTGAGTATTAGTTTTCGATTACACATTGACCCCTGATTACTTTAATCATTTTCCCTTGTTCTTTACCTTAATGTATAAATAACCAATAATGAGAGTGTCGTTAATTTGGAGGAAATATCCTTTCGCCATTTTTTCGATAAGAAATTTCTTCAGTCTGATAATACTTTGTTTTTATACAATGCATAAAGTGTCTTGTTTAGAATAAGTAAATATCATGAGTCACGATCGAAACACGTACAATCCATCTTATCCACCATACGAAGGTTACCAAGCTTATCCAGCTCAACAACCCTCTGGATATATGTCGTATCCACCTCCACCCGGTACTTGTTTCAATTTTAAATGCTTTTCATGCTTCATTTATATATTCTTACAGGTGGTGGCTATGGTCAAAATGAAATGCCAAATCAACCACCTCCTGTGTTGCCACGTCCATGGTTTTTCAAAGGTTAGTTTTATTTAAATAATTGAAATTTATTTGTAAATTTATTAATAAATTCCAAACACACAGGTATATCTTTAGGTTGTAAGACTTTAAAAATCGATATTATTCAAGATATTATTCTTTGATGATATCATATTTTCTAATTATGTTTTATTTTTCTTTTTACCTCTATTTTGAGAAATAAAAACAAAATTACTAGTATGCTTTATACATAGTATTTATTTATTTTCATGATGTGTATAGTTATCTTACAGATATATAAGAAAAAAAAACACATTTCATGGCGGGTACCGATGGCACTAATGAACGACGTACACTTAGATCTTCATATCGAGGTAGAAATTTTGTTTGCATAAATAAAATGAAATATAACTAAAATTTTTTGCATCTAATTGCCACTAAATAGTTAAGTGAATACTAATATTCGTTTCTCAATGCTTCTCTTTTTTTTATTTGTTAAAAATTCGATCAAATCTTATTTCACAATATACAGTTCCCTATTATTATGTAAGATCTTTTTTTTTGTTTATTCGAACTTCAGCTTTATTTATTGTATATTCTACTAAAATACATAGTGTTCTTAGCATAAGATAGAACAATTTTCATTCAAGGTTGTATGACAATTGCATTTATATTAAAACAAAAACTAGAAGGTTGAAGATCACCATTGAATATGTAATGAAGAACAAATTTTTTTAATATTATCTTCCAAAACTTCTGAATCTAAGTAACTGTTTTATCTTTGTTACTTATGTTTCTTCTTCCTTACTAGTATGCTTAGTGTTCTAATTAAACTGTTTTACTAACCGTCAATTAAATTTGCTGTATCTTGATTAAAACTTCAACTTAATGCTTATTCTTCTATTATTTATTCTTTCATATATTCTTGAAAGAAACATAGAATGAATAAACAAGAAATGAAAATGAAGCGTACATATAAGAAAGACAGATAATTAATGAGCAGATTATTATTGATCACAATTATACGATTATAGAAAATATCCGATTGTATGACATAGTCGATTTTCTTTAGCAGTAATTTACTTTCAAAACTATATTCTTTAATAAAGCTCGTCTTGTTGGTTGGATCCGACATAAACCAAAAAGAGTCATACTCTTCAAGTAACAGTCAATTATAATTGATTATTATAAGACTATCGTTAAGATTCTCTGACAAATGTATAGGCTACGTTACCTAAATGAATCCAAATAATCCTTAAAAAGTATTTTGCATCTTCAAAGCGACTTGAAGATTCATACTAAACATTTTCTAAAAAATTAAAAGCACAGTTAGGATACGAATTCAAAAACAAACTTGATTGATTAGGTCCAGACCCGACATATATTCAATCAAGAGATTCTAGATTCAAATATTTTGTAGCAACAAGCGTTATTCCTCAATATATATATACAAAGTGCAAACTCACAAAGAAATAGATACATGAACAGAATCAGTTTATAATTGTATTCGATAGCTTAAACTAATCTACATGAAAAGGAGCTACGGTTAAAATCTCGAAAAAGATTAGCTATCTAATATTTAATGGAAGAAGCAATGAAATCAAAATAAACCATATTAGACTTCAAGCAGATAAAAATTCAGGATGGAGAATATGAAATTCGTATATGCTCATAAATGAGCATCTTTTATAATTGTATTCTAACAATATTTTATTTAAATGTTTTCCTCACACGAGAGAATTCCAAACTCGACAAGATTGAATATCCTCTTTCATAAACATAGACGTAATGTATGCTGTAGAATGAGTACAAATTTCTTATTTATTATTGATATAGAACACAAAAATATTCGATCATAAAGTGGTTCACCATCAGTTTCACTTGTTCAACTGAGCCACCGTGTTAAAGTCGAATAGTTATTTTTTCCATATACTGTTCGTCATTAGTGAGAAAGATAAATGTGCATGATACGATATTTTCTCTATTCTTTATAAATATCTTTTGTAACTATTCAACAACTCGACTACATTATCTGAAGCGTGAAGAAAAGATTTTATGGTATCTTTAAAAATTAAAACCCAAACTGATCGATAAGAGAAAAAGAATTTGAATTTGTTAATATTTTATTTTAACCTTTTAGTATATTCGATTTTGTACAAGACGTAAACCGTTAAGATGAAATAAAGTCTTCATGAAATTATAGGTACATTCAATGTTGAATATAGAAACTAATTTTTTTGTGCTGAAAATCTTATTGAAATGCTTTGCTAATGCATCTGATTAATGCCTTTTATTTTATTGTAGTTGAGATTTTTTTTAATTTTTTTTTTATAAAGATGATGAACAAGGCGGAGGTCAATGGGGAGACTTTACTGGTCTTGAAAACAAAGAAATTCGTCGTGTATTTATTCGAAAGGTTTGTGCTGATCGAGACTTACAAAAAAAAAACTTATCTTAATAATTTTATATAAAATAGGTTTATACAATTCTTATGATTCAATTAACAATTACGTTTGGTCTTATTGCATTATTTCATTTTATGTATGTCTTTTTTTCTAATAAAAGATTTTGAGAGTCAATAGATGATATTTAATATAGACCATCGATTCGTGATTACGTGCGAAGTCCGCATGGTCAATGGCTTTATTGGACGTCATATGTTGTTTTCTTGGTTATTTATTTTGTATTGATTTGTTCACAACGTGCAGCACGAAGATTTCCACTTAATCTTATATTACTCGGCGTTTTGGTAAAGATAGAAAATTAAATTAAATTAATTAAAAACTAAAATTTTGCATTTTAGACATTATCAATGGGCTATATGGTATGACTCGATTTAAAAAACTATTTATTCATTAAATTTTTTTGTTTTCGCAAAAAAAACTTTAGATGGGCATGATTTCAGCTTATTATAAAGTCGAATCAGTATTAATTGCTGTTGGTATAACAGCATTTGTTTGTTTGGGTATTACATTATTTTCCTTTCAAACAAAATATGATTTTACATCATGTTTCGGAGTTTTATTTGTTATCTCATTGGCACTTTTAGCTTTTGGAATTGTTTGTATTTTTACTTATTCAAGAGTAAGTATTTTAATAAAATAAAAATGTCTCTGTTATGTTTTTTTCCTAATAATATTTATTTCTTTAAGATAATGTATACAATTTATGCTGGTCTTGGAGCTCTGGCTTTTTCAATCGTAAGTTTTAATAATTAATAAATTCAAAAAAAAAAGTTATTTTCTATTGTTAGTTCTTGGCTGTTGATACACAATTAATTATGGGTGGAAAACGACATGAAATTAGTGCTGAAGATCATGTCTTTGCATCATTGATGCTTTATATTGATGTAGTTTATATATTTTTATATATTCTTAGTTTGTTGGGCAATCGAGAATAAAATGACTTTTTGGCAATGGTGTTAAAACATTTTTCATACCAATTATCTTAATCACGTGCATTGTTTTGCGTTGTCTCTATTTTCTTTATTTTTTTCTTCTATTTTTTTTTAATTGAAAGTTCAACTCTTGGGTTTATAAGATTTCATTTATAAACGGATATGTATACCTAATCATGTTTATAAAAAAAAGTAAAGTTGTATTGGTGCGTTCTTGTCATGCAATTATTAGTTAAAAGACAAAAATAAAGAAAAAAAACCTTAAGTTCAATGAAAGTATGATGCAATTGAATCACTTCTTCTTTTCTTCTGTCAAGGTTGCTTAGGATTTGCAGGTTTTTTTTTCGATAATGAATATATGACGAGAAAGTGCACATTTAGGAGTCGCTTCACAGGTCAATTGAGAAATCATGTCATACGAAAAACTATCATCTATATTGTTGATTAACGCAAAATGAAAGGGCTTGTACAATAAAACCTATAATTTTAAAAATCTAGAATACGTTGAGCGATATTTGAATATATGTGAAAGAAGCATTTTTTTTTCTAAAGGTGAACCAAATCTTGAGTGTGGGTGGAAATGAGACAATTACTCACACTCACAAGCTAGTAGTAGTATCTTTCAAACATGATATTTTGTGGAACTCAGGTATATTTTCGAAGAAAATAGTGAGTGTAAGTTTTAACTTCAAGGTTTCGCGGCTCTTCCCCGCCCTCCCATTACAGACCATAGCAACGGAAAAGAACATTACAGACATGCCCTCCATTACAGACAGACCCTCATTACAGACAGACCCTTCATTACAGACATACCCCCTTCCCCCCTCTCTATTACAGACCTTAGCGACCAGGTTTAAAATAATGGATATATATATATAACAGTTTCATTTGTCATATAGATCAATGCTTCTTATAATAAAAATGTAAAATTAAAGAAAAAAGAAATGTTAAAAATGAAAAATACGAGGGCAAGATAAATTCCGCTTTCCAGAAAATTCAAAATTGGCTACATCTAAAGTGCAGGAGATTGCAATGAGCAGTGTTAATGTGACAATGTCCAGAGCTAATTTTCATATATAGAGGCACATTTTATATGATTATATATAACTGTTCTGACACTATTTCATAAAAAAAATGTGTATATAACAGATCTCTATCATTTATATTTTTATTGAATTATGGCACGCATTTTTATATATACATAATATATGGTTTGATTTAGGGTTCGGCTTAGTCGAGTTAGGTTGATCGGGTTGGGTTGGATTGGGTTGAGTTGGGTCAGATTGGGTCAAGTCAAGTCAAGTAAGAATATATATCTATAAATATATAAAATATATGATTGGATTTGGTGTTGGGTTAGGTCTTGAGGGTGAAGAGATGTTTTGATATGAAACATGTATATAAACTTTTATATACATATTTCATACCATAATGGGTTTCATTTTATGACCTGACCGAATCAAACCCAACCCGAAATTCAATCATATATTTTATATATACATATAGATATATATTCATACTCGATCCAACCCAACCCAATCCTAACTTGGTCTTCAACTTCATTTCTATATTCTTTTTTTAATTAGACGAGCTGTCTATGATTACCCTTAAAAGCATTTGATTAAATTTCCATGAAATTTCTTCTATAGTCACTTTATTTGAATTTTCTAGAAAGCGGAATTTACCATCGCATGCACACCCCACATCCTCGTGACCGTGACGTGATCGGGACCAAAAAATCTTGGTCACGCCGATGTCTAGTGAAAATGTCTGCAAGCTAAATGTCGATGAGGCAAAGTATCGAAGATAAAAAACATTGAACTACATAATGTCGAAGAATAAACGTCGAAACTCAAAGTCGAACAAGAAAAATACAGAAAGTACAAAATGTCGAAAAATTTCTAATCTGTATTGAAGAAAAAGTATGAGGATAGGGCTGTGTGTATCGATGCTGATGTAGATGGATTTTAATCTGAGTGTGAATGTGGATGATGATGTGGCTGTCGTTTTTCTCTTCAGGCATTCACACTGCTTTATTATTCTTGCACTCAACAACAATACAAAATCTGTATTTTCCTCCGTTTGACAGAGTAAACTGATCGAAGATGCATTAGTGGAAAAATTTCAACAGTTTCATTTGATATACAATATTTTCGACATTTTCTTTTCGACATTTATTTTTGTATATTTTTTGTTTTTCGACCTTCCACTCGTTCGACATTTTCACTTTCGATTTACGATGAGTTTACCTAATCATTCGAAAAAGATAAGATGGAACAGCACTCCACATGGTATGAAGAGTAGTCTCTCGAAAGACATACCTTGAAAAAGCCATTATTTTATTTCAACTATTTTTGAAGTATTCAATGTTCTTATCTGAATGAAGAGTATGAATGTCAGTGGATAAGAGTGTAGATATCAGTCTTGCTACTATTGTCAAACACTTTTTATATTTAATACATTGATAGACCTTCATTCATCCTTGTTTTACGACAAAAGAAGTTCTTTTTTTAAAGACGTCAGAATAGCACTACTAGAAACTTTTCCTTTTTCATTATTCTGTTTTCCATCAACTTAGAGATCTATGATGAAGCATTTGACATGAACCAGTTCTATTGTTTCGTTTTATTTAAAAAGTAATAATTAATTAACAGAAATTAGTGCCGTTTCACATCTTGAAGAGATACTTCTTCACAGAACAAATTCAAGACAAGTGTCTCAACATAAAAATGAATCTGTTTTCTTTTTCTTTTCTTTCTTAGTCATTCTTTAATTCGTATGACTATCAGAGTATGACTAAGAAAGAAAATAATATAGATTCACTGGTATGTTGAGTCATTTATCTTGAATTAAGTGTATGATAAAGTATCTCATCAAGATACGGGATGTCACTAAATTTTATTGTTTAATTAATTATTGATTTTTAAATAAAATAAAAGAACACAATTTACCAAGTTCAATATAAATTCAATCTCCTTTCAAACATCCGACACGCTCAATAGTAACTATCAAGGTAATTGTAAGAAAATGATAGGCTAAGGAAATAAAATGACTATAAGAATATTAGAGATTCCCATATCCATGACCATCATATCCTAGTTAATTTGCATGCACATGTGATTCTTCAAAAACCTAACGGACTGCGGAGTACGAAAAGTGCAAGAGTGATGTGAAATCACAAATCACGAAGCACCATATCTTCAGGAAACAATATGAATCTTCATATCTATACAGATCGATGTCATACCTTTACAACGTCAATATAAGTACTTTCTTCTTCACTGAAACCCACCCCGAATGATGACTTTTAGTGTCTATTTCAGCGGTATGGGGGAACGAATAAATGGAAACAGGATTTATTATTATGACAAACTCTACAATATACATACTACTGATAGAGATTGGCAAGTCAAGCTATTTTTTGACATGAGAACTGTTTTTGGAAGTCATGAAAGGAAAGTAGATAAACTATGTGTTTTAACTTTCATCTACTTCAGATGAGGAATGACTAAATGAGAATATATAGTAGTTCTTTGACTTGACTTGAATCGTAAAAAATTTTGATTTACCATGTATGGTTTATCATTGAAATTTTCTTATTTTAGTGTATTCAATAATGTCAAGAATCATTGTTGGCTTGATACGAATAGCCTGCCTAGGTGCATTTCTATTTACAGCAGTTTATGAAGCTGGATATTCTGTTACGCTCAACGAAAGACGAATCAAGATTGACTCGTTTGATGGCTCCATTACAACTGTACAAGGTATCCTTGTTGGTCACAGTTCGAAATTAGAACGTCCTACCGGATGCACCGTCATTTTGTGCAACACGACATGTGTTGGTGGCGTTGACGTTCGAGGATCGGCTCCAGGCACACGTGAGACTGATCTTCTCGATCCGATAAATTTGGTTGATACTGTTAATGCTATTGTTTTATCTGGTGGTAGCGCATTTGGACTCGATACAGCATCCGGCGTTGTTCGATGTCTTGCTGAAAAAAACATGGGTTTCTCAACCCGTAGTCGTCCAGTTCCAATCGTACCAGCCGCTGTATTGTATGACTTGAGCGTTGGCAATGATCCATTCATAGTACCTGATGCGAACTTGGGCTACTCAGCTTGTATGGCAGCTAATAATTCACGCGTCGTCGAGGGTAATGTTGGGGCTGGCACTGGAGCTACTATAGGAAAGTTATTTGGTATGGAGCATGCCATGAAAACAGGACTCGGTAGTTCTTCGCTAACTGTTCGAGATTTGACCACAAATGCGACAGTCACAGTTGGTGCACTCGTCGCCCTTAATGCAGTTGGAGATGTGTATAAAAACGGAGCATTAATAGCAGGCGCAAGGACCTCGGATAGTAAACGTTTGCTAAACACACTAAATACCGTACTTGGCATCAATCCGACTCTTGCTAGCACGTTTCCGGTTGGAACTGCAACAACACTTGCTTGTGTGACAACTGATGCTAAGCTTACTAAAGCTCAAGCTAAAAAAGTGTCACAGATGGCTCACGATGGATTTGCTCGAGCAATCAATCCTATTCATACAATGTTTGATGGAGATATCGTTTTTACGGTGGCCACTGGAGTATCTCCTATCTCGGATATTAATCTCATCGGTATGATGGCAGCTGAAACTGTTGAACGTGCGATCATTCGAGCCGTTGAGCAAGCGACTGGTCTCCCGGGCCTCCCTAGTATACACGAATTGGGCTCAGCAGGTGATAAACTTGTACTCAACATTGCTATATTAGCGTTCCCATTGTTCTCAAAATTCGTTTAGAGCAAATAACATAAACATAGAGACTCTAAAGTGTTTATGCATTCACAACATGCAGGAAGATGTTATATTAGAACTACTTTGTTGAATTTTCGTACAACACTTCCATCTAACGGCGTAGAGTTACGAGCTTCAACTCCAGCTTGACATAGTCCGTTTCTGAGTTTATGGAAGACAATTAGAGTAGCAATAGTATTTTGAATTCTGATAATTAGAGATTGCATTAAAATCTTTATAACTCAATCAGAAATATAATGCTGAGTTTTCTCATCATTTTAACTTGAACAAAAGCGTCCTCTCTACATAATCTGCTGAGTATCACTTTTTCACACTTTCTCATCAAATTAGTAGCAGAATTTCTCAAGAAAAAGCAAATTTTATAACAGGAATTGCACTATTTCAAATGGAATTCACATTAGACTTCTAAGTGTTGAGCAATAATCACAATCAATTCGTCATTATTGCAAAAACATTTGTTCCATAGAGTACATATTTTAGACTGCTTCTTCTAATAGTGCTTGAGCTTAGCCGTCGTCTTCTTCTTCTTGCGAAATAATCTCGTGTATTAATGTTTGACCAGTTTGGTTAATACTAAACTTTCAAGGTTCTAGAATAATATGATGTAATATTGATTCTTCTCTTTCTACTTCGAAAAATGGTTTGTATTTGCTTAGACTTGATGTGAATGGAATAAGATCAGACATTCTCTTCTGTCCCTCTAACAAAAGATTAAAGACTTCACTTTTCACAATAATGGAAATCTTTTTAATGGCTTTCTTTTCAAATTTGCCTTTCAGATAAACTTGAAACCAAAAAGCATTTCATTTATTAGCTTATCGTTAACATGTCTTATTAGAACTATTCTAAATAAAAACAAGAACAATTGGTTTTGTAAGCTAAACTTACTATCGAATTGATCGCTGAATCGGTTTTTTTGCAAAATAGGTCTTTCATGTTAACAAAAAAACTGCAACAGAATCGTAAATGAAAGAAGCCTAAACGATAAAGTAGTAGTTAAGCGACCTGTTAATAATTATTTTAATTGAAATAGGTCGCATCGAACTCTTGTACAGCTAGAGTTAAAGTGATTTGCACTAGAACTATCTTTACAAAAGAGCTCATTATTTAAACAAAATGTACTAGATAGAACGTTTTTTCAACGCTTGCAACCATTGATTACGTGATATTGACTTCTCAGTATATCTGAAATATTTGATAGTTTAGTAATGAAAGCATAGAATTGTAACAATTTCAGTATACTCAGTAAAAGCTTCAATGATTCCTAAAGATACCTTGATTTTAGAGAGTAAGCTTACAAGTATCGAGAAATGAGGAAAGATACTCAGATAGATCTCATTTGTTGAATACTTTTCTTTTTAATGATAATGTATGTCTGTATTCCTTGATGTGAAACATAAACTAATGTTTTTCAAACAACTAGAACCAACTAGGATCTTACAAAATTATAAATTTTTATACCAAACTGATCCAACGACTTTATTTTAATATATTAGATTCTTACTTTACTCTACTGTTTTCTGCACTGTATATTCTATCCAACCTAACAACAATAGAAATAATTTATTACTTTACTAGAAAACCTTTCACTTGTTAATGTAGAAAAAGCTTATTCCTGATTGAATTCATCTTCGTAGAAAAATGCATACTAACCTCATTCTTGGATAAAGTATGGTTGACGAGTGCTGAGATACTCTTAATTTAGATAGATTCTGATTTGTATTTCTTTAATTTCTCCTATCTATCATGGAATATGCTTTAACTATTATTAATAACAAACCAAACAACTTGTTTGTACGGAACTTGTCAAAGACATTTCAAATAAGGTACAGCCTCGAATATGAAAAAGCTTAAATTAGAAGGAGAGTTTAATGTTTCAAATCCCTATTATGTGAAACAGTTCAAATAATGAGTAACTTTCGTCTTTGTTTTCTTCTAGATCACCAAAACATTGATTATCCTATTACAAGTTAAAAGAAAGATTAGACGTTAGTATTTCCCATGAAAAATAGTGATTACAAACATATTCTTATATTTATAGATTTAAAATAGCAACAACGAATAGAACTGAACAACAGAAACTAATGGATAATATACAAGTATACCATATTAACAATATGTATATTCATGAATAATTACTATTTTTTTCATGACATACCTATGCGCTGTATCGTAGTTTCTTGATTTTTATTTAAACGAATTGTCATTTGAAAAACAATAAAAGCGCTCTTATGACAGGTTCCATTTCGTTTTTTCCTGGTTATTCATTTGCTTATGTCTTCATAATGGCAAGTACAATGTTGAAACACAGACATGATTTTTTATTTATACACATAATAAAGGACAGCACAAAATCTTAGGGTACCTATGTATGTCTCAAAGTATTCCGGCCTCTCCCATTTTCGTCGAAAAATTAAGCCGAAGTCCCTCTTAGGAGTACTTCACGAAACAGACTAAATAGACTCTGTGTTTTTATAAGTTATCTACTTGTTTAACTTGAATTTCCGAACATTGTGGTAGCTCAAGGCTTCTATTTTCACAGTCAATCTGATGTATCCATTGAGGTGACGTCGGCTCAACGTTCTGAAGAAAATGACAGTGGTCGGAACGTTTTGAAACATACATAAACAGATTCAGTTTGCTATATTGAATGCAATTTTGATATTGCACTTTTTATTTTGAATAGAACTTGAATAAAACCACTCAAAATATTGCTAGTTTTTAGTCGAAATCCGTATTTCAGTAGCAGTTGCTGCTTTCGTTAGGTATTTTTCCTGATTGGCATTCAAAGTTCCATAAAACACTTTCTGTGCTTATATCAATGGCTAACATTGGCGTGGAAATGATCATACGTCTCCTTTCCTACATTGGGATAGAGTCGATATATCGCAACAATCAATCACTTGATTACTATTATACAATCTCTTCGGAGATCGATCTTTCTAGTAAAACTGTACCAAGTCATAACAGCAGCCGTTGATGTTATTATCCAACAGAGGCTACAATGCGATCTGCAGATTGCAATATGAAAGATGTTATTTTGTTTTTATCTTATCCATGAACGAGGTATTAGACTGTGGAGGGAAAAAATGTATAAAAACGATGGAAACATCAAACATTGATATCTTATTATTTTTTTCAGGGTGTCACTTTCAAGGCAATGCTCCAGCACAAAAAATACTCAACTCGACGAGTTATATCGGATTATGAATGAAGCTTGAAGTTTAGACAACAAAAAGACGAGAGAGTCAATTTGCATTCTTATACGCCCCTGTCCCTTACTGTGAAATTAACGAACGTATGAGTGACCGCATTAGATGGAAACATGATGCTGTAGCCCATTCGAAGACTAGTGATCAAAAAAGGCAATAAGAAAAGAAATGAACCGGAGCGCATATATAATGTGGTACAGATGTACAGGATAAGCTTTTATCATATTCTGCACTCGGGTTGAGAAAAATTTTCTTACTCTTATCCTCTACATCTCTATTAATTGTAAATTTGTTCAGTGTCTAGTACTAAATTACATCGAGTATTAAGTAATAACGAGAGTTGCAAAAACGCTCCAAAATCTACATACAGCACTTAGAACAAGTGAAAAACTTGTCATTGTGAACTTCATGATAAGAAAATCTTTTATCAAAGAGAAGGTCAACTGTAGCATCAACAACGATCTTATTCCAATAAATATGAGAAAAATGATTTATTTTGAAGAATTGGCATCATTGTTTGAATGTCACTTCTAAATTCTCTGCCCGTGTTTGTTATTCATCATAGAATTTGGAAGAATTTGGTTGGTAAAAATAAAATGCGAGCAGAAAAGTAAAATAAAATTTGATTGTTTCATTTTCCAAATGAAAATGAAAATATCAGAAATCAGTTTTCTCACCACCAATTTAATATGTCGAAAACTTATGTTTGAAAATGGTAAAATCAAATCATCCTTCTACTATTCGCATGAAATTTATTACAAAAACACTCTTTAGTTAAGAATTTACGTAGTATACCGAAAAAATTAGAAAAAAAAAGAGAAGTTAATCATGGATCCATGAATTTTCACCGCTGAATCTCACGATTTAAGTCTATGGATAAGAGATTAGGCAAAAAATCAAATAAAATAGTCCCATATGAAATACTTCCTACAAAGAGCTCTATCCGTCCTGATGTTGTCTTCAAAATGTTGGTCAAAATGATTGTCCACATTGATTTTTTCGTTATATTGAATACTGTAAAAAACGAAGAATGTGTTATGTAAGAGATTCTCTCAATGATTATATCTGTATATATGGGGTTGATTAGTCTGACCGGATACCCCATTTAGGTTTTCTTTATTGTAAGGACAAAACATACCATTGTTCGGGCCATATAAGAGAGAGTAGTAGATAATCCTAGATTGACACGAGTAACTCCATGGTTTATCCTTATAATAGTAGAGAAAAGCTACTAGCTCACACAAAAAGTTAGTAGTTTTTCTCTACTATTATAAGGATAAAACATGGGGTTGTTCGGATCTATCTAGGATTATCTACTACTCTCGCTTATATGGCCCGAACAATGGTATGTTTTGTCCTTACAATAAAGAAAATCTAAATGGGGTATCCGGCCAGACTAATCAACCCCATATATATTAGCAAAATTTAAGTTATCCTAACTCTATTATTAACGGCAGCAGTTCCATTATTATGAATCTAATTATTCATTTACTTTATTATAAATATTTTCAATCATCTTGCGTAAAATCAACTATTCTTCAAGATCAAGTATGTCGAGAAAAAATAAATTTTTTCTGAAGCACCACCACACCGATGTAGAGACATTTTTTTAATTTCAGTTTCTTATTAACTACCTTCATTTAAGTCAAATTCATAGTCAATGTTGGTAACTTCGAAAAGAAAGTCTACAAGAAAAAATTCTTCTAATAATACGATCAAAATTTATCTCTACCGATAGTTTTTTCTCTTACATCGCCATCTGTTCTTTACATTTTATATTCGTCCTCTTCTGACCTTTCCATAATAAACTATGGATTCATAACTATTGAATCGCTATAAATATATTTATAATTAAAACTACAATGACAACATCAATCGAACACTTACCTGTTGAATTATGGATCTCAATTTTTTCTTATTTAGAAGCACATGATCTTTTTCAAGCGTTTACTAATTTAAATAATTATTTTGATCAATTAATTGCATGCGATTATCTTTTATTTAATGTACAATTAGGAAAAAGTGATCATAATCCTTTAGAATATTCTATTCGACCATATTGGTCTGATTCAATACTCAATCGTATAATTAGTCTTCAACCAATTATTCAACATAAAATTTCACATATACCTGAATTTCTTCGTTGGCATTGTACGAAATTGATTCAATTAAAATCTTTAAAAGTTAAATTACGTAGACGAGAAATTCCAACTATATGTATTGCTTTGAAACAACTTAAGTCTCTTTCTCGTCTTTCTATAGAATGTATACCAAATCAAATGTTAATCGAAACTATTCTGTCCATACCTGTTCTACGTGTATGTCGATTAGAATTCTTACGGGCAATAACACCAATCAATTGTTATTCAAATCAAATTAGTCAAACAGAAAAACTTTATATCAAACTTCAAGGTGATTCACATAATTCGATTATTAATTTACTTTTGAATCGAATGCCGAAATTAAAAAGACTTGAAATTAATAGTTCTGAAATTTATTTCGACGAGCGAGATTCATTGTTTAGTAAACCATTATTTATTCTTTCAGAACTTCGAACTATTAAACTTAGTTGGTCATCGAGAAATTCTGATCAAAATTTTTTCGAAAGTTTACATCAAATGTTACCGAATTTAAAGCATCTTTATTTAAATTTGATTCATGATTATTTTACTGAAGATTTTTTCAATACTTTAATTTATCATTGGTGGCCAGTTATTGAAAAATTAGAACGCATCAATATATTTATAATATTTCGAAGACCTCAGATGTTAATCAATAATAGTATGCAGACAAATTTAGATAAATTTCAATCAATTTTACTCTCTATGAATGAAAAATACACTGGATTTGTCAATTTTAAATGGATGGAGAAATTTTTTATAGCATATAAAATGATTGAAATTTCTATTTGTAAATTTTGTTAATAAATAAAACATTTAAATGTGAATTTTTATAAGAAAAATTGGCCTTTAACAAAATAACTTAGATAATATTATACTTCATCAATAATAACGATTGATTATTTTCGTATAAGAAAACCGAATTCATATGTTCTTTTTTCTAAATAAATCAGTTGCTTATACTAATACAAACAAATGTGTTCTACTAAGTAATGTAATTAGAGTTCAATATGTTCTTGCTTGATATCGGTTACATAAATACAGCTAAAGCTATTGAATACGACTGAGAATTTTGGAGTTATTGTGTTGGTTTGAAGAAGTTTGTTTATCATTTAACTGTTCAATTTCCTTTTTTATTAATATAACGCTCGTTTCAACTAATTATTATCTTTTAATCTATTAATGATCAAATGATGAGAAATTGAAGAACCACAAATAAGTGCACGTTGACTTTTGTTCTAATGACGAAACCACTCCAATTGACATCTGTCATTTGAATTGATAGTAGATTCACATAGAAGACTCAGAGAGATTAGTAAACCCATAAAATACTTCAGCCGAAAAGAATGTTGATTCATCAAGATATTGAATTTCCAAAAATAATCTTTTCTCATATAAATGAAGTTCACTTGAAAATTCAATAACTCGATACTCAGTTATTTGAATTTTCGAAGAAATGAAAGACCTGACATGAATCCGAAATCCAATAAACGACTCATGGCTCGGCACGACAGATCAACAGAAACGAACTGTTCGAAATCTTTTGCTAGCTGTGCTGACGTCTACCTGCTGGTTCAAAACAAGCTCAAATGGTGAGTATCTATTGGGGTAGTTTCCTTATGAGAGTAGATAATCAATATCTAAAACCTTGATACTTTACTAATTCATGTACATAGAGGGTGTCAAATATTAGTGGCAACAAAACTCGGGCGTAAGTTCAGAAAAACGAAGACCCATAGCTTGCTGCCTACCACTGATCATCATCTTTGCTCAAACTTCAGAAGAAAGAAAAATGCAATAATTACCAACCATCATTGACATTATATTACGTAGATTTTGCCCAAGATCGTGGTATACTGCCCTATCTTGAACGATCTCCTGATTAGGGCACTAATTCTAACTAAACATAACGTTTTTTCCTTTTAATAAGAGTTGTTGATTTTATACTTTGATAAATTTCTGAAAGACATACTTTGCTAGTCACATGAATTCTTAAGTATGTCGCTAGTATTAAATCATCCAATATTTACCGTTGTTTTTTACATGATTTCACTATTTTGCAGCAATGGAAAGCAGAACAACATGAAATCACGTGGTGAACAGTTACCTGTTGAATTATGGCTATTAATATTTTCTTATATAGAAGTTCATGATCTTTTTCAAGCTTTTTCCAATTTAAATAATTATTTTGATAAATTACTTGCTTCAAAACAACTTTTCTTAAATGTTCAGCTAGGATCAAAAACGAAACATCCTAATTCGAAATTTAATCAATCTAATTTTTATTGGTCTAATTCAATACTTGATCGTGTAACTTGTATTCAATCATTTTCTGAATATGAATCTGATGATCTTCTTCAATTTCTTCAATCCCATTCGAAAAAACTTATTCAATTAAAATCATTAATTATTCAAGTGTCTATACAAAACATTCCATCTATTTGTAGTGCATTAGAACAATTTCATTCACTTCATAGTATTTCTTTAACATGTATACCATCTCAAAAATTACTTGAAATCATTCTTCTTGTACCAACTCTTCGTATATGTCGATTAAGATTTTGGCGACCTATATCAATTATTAATTATCAATCAGGTACTAATAGCAATGTTGAAATACTTTATATACAACTTTTAGACGATCCCAACTATTCAATTTCTTATTTACTTTTATCACATATGCCAAAATTGAAACGTCTTGAAATTGAAAAATGTCGTTCCGTGCCGTTATTCAATCAAGAAATATTTATTCTTGAACATCTTCAAATACTGAAATTCATTTGGAATCGTCATCAATATAAATCAGATTATTTCGAACATTGCCATACAGTTGTACCATATTTAAAAAGTTTATATCTTACTGTATACTATTTTCAATTCGATGAAGCATTTGATATTAATTTGATTGATTTTGTATGGACATTATTGAAAAAAATGAAATCAATTAAAATTTTCATTCTCTGTAATCAGTTAATGACAACAGTCAACAATAATATACAGACGAAATTAGATACTTATTGTCAACAGCTATCATTTGAATTAAACACTCGATCTGACGCTATTTTTCAAATTAAAAGGACTGAAGAAAAAGCACATAAACATAAAATTCAAATTATTTCTCAATAATCAAAATATTTTGTTTGTCATTTTTTTTACCGATGCTAAATTGATAAATCTTATCTAATTAAAAAACATTTTTCTTTTATTCTGTATGCAAGATCAAATCGATAGCTGCACTCATGTTTCATATAGATATTTACCTTTTCCTCACATATTCTCATGTCGGAGACATTAGTTCAAATTTTTTTCTCTGTAAATCTAATTGGAACGCGCCTTGATTCAATCTGACTTTTAGGTTAATTAAATTTTTCTTTTACTCATAGGTCGATTTTGTAATGTGAAGCTTTGTCGATCCGTCTGGAACTATACACTAGTTAATCAGTAAATGAACATTTTGGTATGTAACTTCTAAACAACAGGTTCTCTACCTTTGAAAATACGTTACTATAAAGTTTTTCAAGAAACATACCAATCTATGGTTCTATAAATACGATGAGAAATCATAAATTTTTATACAAAAATAGCACGTTGTATACTCTTCATTAAGTATCAAAAGTTCAAGTCGCAAAATAAGCTTTTCAGTGCAGTCCAACTTGTGCTAAAATGTGGAACTCATATGTGTTCTTTAGCGGCATTCTACGAATACAAATTATTTTAAATGAAAAACCTCTAGCAGACTATAGCCGTTTTCTAACGAAAATCGATCACCAAACGAACACAATGGCTAACGAGGGAAGCTCTTAATATGCGCCTTCTCTCGATTTCAATAATTTTTTTGCCTGTAGATAATACATAATGTTCTAATCAAAAATGCTAAAAAGATTTGAGTTCCTACTGAAGTTTGACTCAGGAATCGAACTTTCTCTTCAACTGAACTGCTTAAGAAATCGCACTTTTTTGTAACTCACCACCCCACATATAAGCTTCTCCATCGACGACCAACATTTTTTGTTTTTCAATACCTAAACAACAAATGGAAATGAGGAAGTTTGACCAAAACAACCACAAAGATATTTACCCATGGAATCGTGCGAATCACACTTCTAGTATTTGAACCAGTCTTAACCATATGAGATTAAATTCAGATACATTCTTAACCATGATACGATATGATTATCTTATAAATGTCTAAATTCTCACCAACATGCTGATAGAATAACTAGATAATCGAGATTTGTGACCCGAGCTAACTTCAAACCATAAGGCTTCTATGAAAATAATAATAACATGGTGAAATAATTTTGCATTCTAACCGTTCAAACTTCAACCAACGTATTTGATTTTACTCTCACATGATGATCGGAGATTTCTTGCCATACAACATAACCTTTCTCTGTGGCATTGACAATATCAACCAATCTATGATAAGAAATACAAAGTCAATGATAATGCAAAAATTTTTCTCTGCAAACAAGACGATGTAAACAAATTTTCAATCTCGAAATTGACAAATCAATATCAAATATTGGATTTGTCTACTGATGCAATAAATTACAAACTAGGAAAATTATTTTCGTTTATTGAGAAATTTCCTTAGAAATTTCGAAAGTTGAAATAAGATTTCTCTCGTCTTTTAAACTTACATATGCATGTAATATTGTTCGAGTAGACCATAGGCTATTCTAAATTGCATCTGTCGCATGAATTCCTTGATTCGTGGATTACTTCTTCTAAACGAAAAGTTCTCGTTCGAGAAAGACAATGTACTGAAAATGCATAACAGTTACTAGCATTCAAAATAAATTTCATCATCGCCCAAGTGCACATAACGATCAGAAAAGACGCTAGCAAATCCAGTAAAAAAGTTCTTAAAAAAGGCAAATGTTGAATTTCGACTTGAATCCATAAGTTCCAATTTACCGTTTGGCTTTCCTTGACTATTACGTTATATTCAGACATCTGATAGGTTGTACCTGATGAATCGAATTCGATTAGCACATGAATACCATGCTGTCATGCAAATTCAATTAAATCAATAATATCAGCTTGTGAATAAACATCTTGTTTGTTGTAAGCATCTTTATCACTTAATTTAGGATACGAACGTGACTCGTAGAGGAACGATTGGTCGTCAACAATATGAAAATGAGTTACATTCACTTTACTCTGAGTCTTTGCTTCTTATAGCACAAACAATAGATTCTAAGTACAGAGAAACAAAGAATCGTTTGATTACCAACCAAATTCATTTTAATGGTATTGACAGAAATAAAATGACAAGACGTATCCAGCAGAAGACTTCGATGTTGAAATCGAGAAAAATCATTGATTATCGTTTCACTAATGGCAAACTATTATTTTTTAAGGTGATAAGCAAAGTTTTAATTATAGAAAAGAATAGTTTACTCAGAGATCATCATCTGTATAGAACAATTGATTGTATGTTTCGAGACTTCGCAGAGTACCCCAAACAGATACTGCATTGAGGGTAGTATGATTGCTCTTGACAACGAGCGTGTCTTAATTAAGTACATATAATTTGATTTAAAAAAGTCTTCAAAAACTGCTTTTACCTGGCTCACTCGGTTCCAAACTCGGCCATTGATCACACGGCTGTTGAATGTTGACGTAGAGGTCCATGACCAACGATGTATTAGCAAGATTGAATAAATTTTTTTCTTAGTGTCGCATTTGTCCTTGTTTGACGAATATAGTCATCAGTTGAGAATCAGGACAATAACGTAATATATGAGGTAAGTAAGTGCAAGGGAAAAAGATTGCTGTGTCGTGTCAATCAAAAGCAGTAGTCAATAAACCATAACGTTCACTACTCTCGTTCATGAGAAAGTGAAATGTATTCGGATGAACAGCTGAACATTGAATTGTTGTCTGTATCGATTGAGGTTTAGATCAAGACTTTCTAACATTCGGTTGAAGACGAATCATGTTGAGAAAACCACGTTATTCATAGCTCCATGCAGATGGTAGGCTTTCAACAATAATTACGACGAAAAGAAAGAGAAGATTCCGACAAGCAACCATCTTCAGCAGCAAAAAAGTTCACTCGGACTTCATTTGAAAAAAATAATGATTCGTATTTGATGTATTAGTATTATTTTAACTGCATGCCTTTTGTGGATTCTTAGGGGCGTAAATATTATTTGATTCGACAGCAGAATACATTATATACAAGTGGTTTGTTATGTTTAAAAAAAAAGTGAATGTTTCTGATAACAATAGAAGATACAAGATGCTTAGAAAAGCAAGATTAGGGTTGCCAGATTGTCTGAAATTTGGATGCCTTTCTGATTTCCTTCTGACAGTCTGTTTTTTTCTGATTTTAGCACTCGCGTCTGATTTTTTCCTGTTTTTGATAATTTTCCCTGCTTTTCTCCTAAATTTTGAACTTTTCTAAATCATATCACAGCTTTTTTAGCGAAATTAAATCATATCATAATTATTCGTGTGAACAATTTCATAACTATCTTTTAACTCAAACACATTTGTTAAAGCAAATTCGAAAAAATAGAAAATATGAACAATAATATCGAATCTATGTTACATAATCATCAGTTTTTTTCTTTCATAGGATCTTATAATTTATATCGTATATATGTGATTTGTTTTTGTACTTTTTTTGTGAACGAATTTTGAGTTTAGCGAAAGAGTTCGTCACTACGTGTCTTCATTAGTTTTTCCTTGTTAGCTAAACAGTATATTCATTGTATTCTGCTTTTTTATAGCGAAATATCTTTGAAAATAAAGTATGAATTAATGAACAGCTATTCAATAGAGCATCTTGTACCAACATGATACCATAATAGCCAACAGATTTTTCAAAAACTGACTTTTCTGATTAATTTCTGATTTTGCAAAAAAAATTCTGATGGTTTTCTGATTTTGAAAAAAAAATTCTGATTTTTGAGTTTTCGATCTAGCAACCCTGAGCAAGACAATCAAACATATAAATAAAAGCGAGGCATAATTCATTCTCCGAATCGACCTCATAATCATGCAGAAAACCGATAAAAACTATAAAAATTCATACTTAAGGTGAACAAACTTATGACTCTTTGCGATTGATTCAATTAGGTTCTATTACTATGGCTAACATCTGTCCAAATTACCGGTTTTCATATAAATTTTTGTCTCATCAATCATTTTCAAAAATATAGATTTTCAAGGTAAACTTATAGGTTTCTAAGATATATAAGAATTTCTCGGAAATGAAAACAAACTTTATTTTATATTCACCATTAACAAAAAACAATAGTTTGTTCTATTTTTTTCAGACATTCTTAACCATAGAATAAATCACGAAAACCGATGATAGAGTAAATACAAATTAGGAAAAATAAAAAAAGATTAAACAAAAACAGATGAAGGTAATCTGTCTCTCTATATGTGAAATAAAATCTAATTTTATTATCTAAGCTAGGTTATAGAAAATATTCTTCAAGCGAGAGAAACACAAACTCTTCATGCTTATTGTAATCTCGAGCTAATGAATGAAATTTCTCAGAGCGACTGCTTCTTATCCGCATGATAAATGAATAGAAGAATATTGTTTTCGACTTTATTAATTATGTTTATATTTCATGAGGTTTGAAAAGTCTCTTTTTTCTGTATTAAAATGTGAATCATGATTGTATAATTCTTAACCAAGATAACAAAGAAATTGTCACTTTTATTGTTAGTGACTGGTTAAAGAACGATAATGCGACTAGGTTAATGCATTTCATTCATACTAGAAGTAAGTGTTTTTTCCTGACGGAATGATTATTAACTAATATCTTTTATTCTCGTAGAGAGGATGTAATGTTATATGAATCGACAAAATTCGAAGTTTGATCAGTAATTATTGTCGAATAACTTCGCCTGAAATGCAATAGTTCAATAGAAAATTATTGAAATTATATTGCCAACTGAGTCTGTTAAATACTATTGATAATAATATACTATGCTATTCAATTATGATTCAATCAGATACAAACAATGAAATTGAAATTTTTCAGTTCTCTATAAATAGAAAATAGCACAATTCGCATATGGAATATTTGAGTTTTCATGCGAGTTATTCGTTAAGTTTTATTGTTCAATAATTTGCAATCAATCTGATAGACATAATTGTTATGACCTACATCTTCTTCAGATGCAGTCCTAAGGATTTTTCCCTCTCTATCTATAGGATTATACATATACACTTATGTTCTTCATCTTTTCTCTTATCGTTAGTTATGCACCATGAAGTTTTCTTTTTCTTTCCTTCTACTTTTCTTTCTTCCGTGTTATTCTATGGATTTTTCCTTTCTTTGTTCATCGTTTGCAGAATTTTCTATTAGGAGTTTTCCAACTCTTGTCATCATGCTATATATAGCGTCACGTTGTTGCGTAGAGTCGATTGGATTTAGATACAGTTATACAGATAAACTATAAATAGGATTAAGATCTCACAATAATGAACATCTTGATTTATTAAACATGAATATTTCTTGTTAATCATAGCTATGAAGGTAGTGAAATATCACTTATAACATTAAGTAAGCGTACACGATCACCTCTTCCGTAAATGTTGATATGAAGTTGCCAAGGAAAGGGACATTTGTTAATATCAATATCTAATTGTTGACTTTTCTGGCTTCGCTCATTTTTATAATAAATTTTTCGATTAGTACAATCGAATACGAGTGCAACTATATCGTTTTCAACTGTATGATGAAATAGGGTACCAGTTTCATTGTTTTGACGAATACCATTAAGAAAATAGTCATTGTAATCTGCCCATCCATATGCAGATGGAGATTCATATGAATACTTCTTCATTGGTTGTGATTTAGAAATAATACCAAAGAAAATCCAAGTTCGTCGTGGATTTTTCTCAATTTGAAAACGAAATTGATGAGTACCAGATGAATAGTCGACTTTTCCACGAACTTCAACAGTACAATCCCAGTCACTGTGTTCGACAAGTCGACCATGATCGTCAATATTAGCACCATTAAGACAATGTTCAAAGACATCTCCAGAAGTTATCATCTGTGACTCGATCTCACGGTACGGAAACATAATTTTATCATTGAACTTCGAAGATGTTGTGGGCAATTTAAGCTGATATATTAATGGTGTTGATGTATCTTCTTGAATACTGTTCGATAATGAAACATTCATCAGTTCGTCTCTCAATCTATTCAAAATTGATATCCAATTGATAAGATCTGTTTCGAAAAAATCATCTTTTTCACGTGCCTTTTTTATTCTTTCGTTAAGAAAATTTAGTTCTTGTGATACGGTTCCTATGGAAAAATAGATTGACATTTAACAATTCGAATTTTCATAAAAAAATTTACTCTTATGTATATTTGAAAGTTCTATAGTTTTTTGACGAGTCTCTTGAGCCATGCGTTTAATCTTCACAATAGATTTTTGTTCCCATTCATCAATATACTTTATCAAAGGATTACTTTGGTCTTTATTTTCAATGATTAATTCTTGAAGACTATCATGTTCAACAATAATTTCATCCAATTGATGATGTAGAGTTTGCCGATGTTCAGTAATATGTTCTGTACAAAACGCTTGTGTACATCCTTCACATTTAACTACTCCAGCGCCTCTATCACATGTAACGCAAGGAGTTTTTGAAGTCACAGAAACCATGAGAATAAAAAATACACGTTGTTTCTAAGAATCCAGCAATTGTTACAATCTTCTGTTTCTGTTTTGTTGATAGAAGAAAGTGCACATGTAGGAAGAAAAAGGTCACGTGAAGTGAATCAACATTTTCACTTGCCAAAGTGTAGTCCATCATCCACATTATACCGATATGGGTACATATATATATGGGGTCAAACACACTAGAGAAGTTAAAACTGAATTAACCAATCGAATCGTGAGTTAAGTTAAAACAGAGTTAAATCGAGTAATAATAATCGGTCGAATTTTTGACCTACGGCCTACGTAGACCTACGAAAATAATTGGTTATTTTTTTTCGTTGTGCAGATGATTCATACGAACAGAAAAACAAACGAATAATATTTTTTAAGCTCGCGTAGGCCGTAGGCCAAAAATTCGGCCGATTACTATTACCCGTTAAATCATCTTTTTGAGATGATTTAACGTTAATACACCAATGGAATGGTGCATCTTTTCACCAATGAAAACACACTTGTGACAACTCAATTTTATGCATATTTCGCATTTTTTTCATCGGCATATAAATTCATAATAATAAATGCCTCTCTTGATTTTATTCATCACAGTGAAAATCATCTGTTTTACTATTGTTTACAGACGTATTTTACGAAAAAAAAAAGAAGCGAAGCTTTTATGTATTTTTTTTCATGATAAATAATGAGATCGCAATAGAATGAACCGAATTTTTTTTAATTATGAACAATTATCATTTTGTTTTTTTTGTTAGAAAATCTCTTGTTCTCCTTGTTTAACATAAAAGTATTGATGAAATAATTGTTAATTTTGAATGATTGCTTTTAGTTTCAAATTATAGATGTTCATCGCGGTTGAAAGTGCACCGTGATGATATGAAAGGGAAAACCTATCACGCCGCCGCCGCGACGTATTAAAAACAATTCTACCGCTACCGCGGAGATATTGAAAACGTATTCGAAACAATGACCTACTCTCAAAGTAAGAAAAAACCTATTATTATTAATTTTTCATGTAAGAAAATGGGTGATAAAAATGAATCTATTAAATCTTTAGTTGTATTGAAAACATTCAATTAGTAATCAAAAGACATACAAGAACATGGAATCTTAGATTATATCGAAAGAGATATACCGCCCAAATCAGGTAGCCTCATCCGATTTGTTCAACTGAGATATTTCAGACCGGGACAAAATAAGAGTGGTAGAAGTTTATAATTGGCAGAGACTATAATGTCACATGGGTGAGATAATGCAGAGTAGAGTTTTAGATCCAAAATAAAACGATGCATTCATATCATGCTAATGAGATTCACGATAATCTCTTTTCAATCGTGTATGCTAAAAGAAAAACCACATATTCATTTGAACATTCTCTTTCTTGTAGTTACTCAAATGTGCAAAAATAGGAATTACTAATTTCTAGCTAATACCAGAACTTCTGGCGATCTTTTATTCCTGTTATTATAAAACTTCATAGAACGATACTTAGCTTTCAAGAAAATCTAATCAACACATGATATTATGCATAAGTGTAGTACTTGTTACAAAGTTTAATACAACTTGATATTTTTTTTTTGATCATTTTTCATCTTCAATAATGAAACCAACAATAATAATCGTGTTGTCTGAATTCGGTTTTGTTTTGCTAGTAATTTAATGAGAAAACATAGAAAGTATACTTAAAGTTTATTTGCTCCAACTGTAATAAGTTTGTTAATATGCATACATATTATCTATAAGCATAATGTTTTAAGTCGTATATCACAGTAAAATTTATAAATCAAACAAAGAAATTCTTATAATCGTAAAACTCATCGAATAGTGAGGCCTAAAGAACTTAAAGATTTAATGCATGCGTTAAATACAAACCCCAATACGCTTGTAACTAGAAAAACCCATTAACGTTGACGTAATTAGAAGAAACATACGTTGGCCTAACATGAAAAAAGTATGATCAATAAAAATAAACATATTGTTACATTTGCAGTTTAAAAGTTTACAAAGAAGTTTATCAATGTTGCTTATAGTGCCCATAAAGTAAACGAACCTTTAGAGTAAGAATAAGTCAGCATTTATCAGTAGAAAATCACAACAATGATAAAATTACGATAGCGGTATCTGGAATTAACTATCGATACGTATGTCAAGTAAAATCAAATAAAATATGTATTCAGCAACATTTGTTAACAAGCTCTGAAATATCATCATCATTCAGTCGTGTGGTAGTAAAGAGTCTGTTTCTGTTTGATGACAGAGACATTGAACTGCTTTGACTGAGAAAAATTCTGCTTAGTTCAGATTACATAAGAATAATAATCTCAAGTACAATGGATTTCTTCAGAAAAAATGTCCCAAAAGTTCAACCGCTGCCGCTGTAGTATTTAAAAAATCTACTGCACCGCGTCGCCTTATTAAAAATTTTTTGCCGCTGCCGCTCTCATCATCGTGGTAGCGGTAGCGGCAGCGCCGCCATGGACATCTATGTTTCAAATATTTTCTAAAAGGCTTGCGCAACTATTGCTGTACAGAATCTGACTAATGTCCGTGCCAGAATTAAAGGAGGGGTGGGTGTAAATGCAATAACTCGATAATGGCAACAGCTAGCGATCTGCGATTTTCACTAATTGAAAGAGGAGAAGAGGGCACGTCTTTTTCTCCGACAATGTATAAGACGAAATCCTTTTAAAGTTAATCATCTTCGAAAAACTTACAAAAGAATGCATGAAAATGGCCTGCCATCTAGATGAAATCTTGATTTTGAGCTTTGATTTAGATAGGGGGACTTGAGATCTATAGTTCAAGATACAATGTAACTGGTTCTCTTATTACATTCTAACGTTGAGTAAATGGAATCATGTATTTATATGCGCAAATAATAGGGAATTTTGCTGATTTTTTGCACTTTTTATCATAACAGCTTGATATTTCGATGAAAATGTAATGAAAAGTAAGAAAGCGCATTGTATCTTAAACTATAGATCTTAAGTGCCTTTACCTAAATCAAAGGTCAACATGAAAATTTCATCTAGATGGCAGGCCATTTTCATGCATTCTTTTGTAAGTTTTTCGAAGATGATTAACTTTAAAAGGATTTCGTCTTATACATTGTCGGAGAAAAAGACGTGCCCTCTTCTCCTCTTTCAATTAGTGAAAACCGCAGGTCGCTAGCTGTTGCCATTATCGAGTTATTGCATTTACACACACTCCCTCTTTAATTCTGGCGCGGACATTAGTTATAAACATGTTAATTTGCAAATTCTATGATTTACTGTTACTTTAGTCAGTTTTGACCAATACAGGTCATTCAGTTTATTTTGAAACGATTTCAATGCATTTTCTCTCTGTCAGTGACTCATTGAAATGCAATGGTTTTCATACCAGTCTACTTCGCACACATTGAAGATGTTATTATAATATTATTCGTTTGGATAAACAAATGTCTGTTAATAAAACATCTAATAATATTGAACGATATGTGAAATATTCTTTGACAGAATAATATTCATATTTAGCGAAACGTGAACAGTCATCTGAAATACGCTTCTGTCTATCAAAAAGCACCATTAGGCATGCCTCTAATAAGTTTGAGAAATAGCCCTTGCCAACTTATTAAACTATGAAAATCCAAATTTTTATTGTCAACGTTATACAACAAAATGTATAATCAGCTGGAAGTAACATATAATGCAAACTACATCCATTTCTCTGCTGTTTAGCTAGTTGTTACAAGATATTGTAGTACTATTGGTACAACTGTTTGCATTATTCTGGACACAAATCCTGCCAAGAAACATGAAGAAAAGCTAGATAGATCGTTAATATTCATCTAATCTCGCAAAAGAAGCGATCTTAGTACTTAAGATGTATGACATCGATTACGCCTTATAATCTACAAAATGATGTCAGAATCGATCAGGCATATCTCTAAACGTAACTGTAGCTGTTTTTCAACCTTTTTACACGCATTAATAATGGTACCTTTTTACAGACCGAAATGTATTCCAGATAACTGTGCATGTTTTACTAAATATGAATATTATTCTGTGTCAAAAGATATTTTTCATACCATTCCATATTATTAGATGTTTTATTAACAGACATTTGTTTATTCAAACTAATAATATTATAACAACATCCGTAATGTATGTCAAGTAGACTGATATCAAAGTCATCCGATTTCAATGAGTCACTGACAGAGAGAAAATGGATTGAAAACGTTTCAAAATAAACTAAATGACCTGTAGAGAAGTAATATCAAAACGATGGCACAAATCCATGCGACATAGATGATAAAATACAGAACATGCATACAGTTGATTGATAGTGACAGAATTCAAGAGAAAGTGATTTTTTTATTTTTCTCTACCTTCGTAAAGCACACAAAAATTGTCGGTATCCAGGAGGTTAAAACTAGTAGAAAAATTACATTTTTCTGATATTCAGTTGATACTACACAAATAAATAAGTATTGAGATAGCCTATGGTTAAGCATGCCCATGTATGTTTATGTATGCAGAAACCGTGGAATAAGAATGATGATGGAGTATACAAATTTCTTCTCTATCATGATTCACAAAAACACAATTTTATTGTATGGAACATGAAAATAGTTTTTATGCCTTAAATTTAATGTTGTTCATATGTCTCCTCGAAGATAGGCATAAGACTGATGTACGATGAAACATCTCTGCGTTTTCAGCAACATTTTTTTCAGGCTTTTTTGTGCTCAAGAAGTCTCAGCACACCAAGTCTTGATAGAGAGTGGATATATTGTCGACCATTTTCGTCTTTTTTTCTTTCAAACAGCAGTCAACGCAAAGTGTGAATATTTTATTGTTTTGAGTATCAAATTCCGCTTGTTGCCGACTTATTATTTTTTCCTAAGGTTTCAATAAACAATGCGTTTGTAATATTTTTTTCGTTGTCACCATCAACCAAACACAATACAAGAATGAAAAGATTGATGCATGCTTCCTATTGTTTAACCC